TGGCCCAGTGTTAACGCGGCAGACTGTGGATCTGAGGCTCCCTGGTTTGCGTTCTATTACCGCAAAAAAAATAAAATAAAAAAAAATCGCGCTCAATACTTTGGGACAATGTGTGTGTGTGTGCGTGTTACGAGAATGACGATCAAATCTCATTATTCGGTCTGAAAAGAGTAGCCTAAGTGTTGGAGGTGAGTGGTGTTGAGTAGCTGCTTTCCCTTTAGTCTATCACTTCAAAATAAAAGTCGGTTAGTGCAGATAACTCTCGTGAAGCTTAGCTCGTAATCTAGAAAAACAAAACAAAAAACACCAAAGATAAGTTGGTAACAACTGATTTTAACAAACAAGTTAACTATTCAAGTCAGTTGAAGTTGGTGTTAAGTTAACGTTTATAAACCAAGATCTACTCTATACTCACTGTTTCCAAAAGTTGCTACCGAAATGTTTGTTTGTTGTTAAGCACAAAGCTATACAATGGGCTATCTGTAGTGTGCCACTTCGGTTATCGGCCCGGCATGGCTAGGTGGTTAGGGCACTCGACTCGCAATCTGAGGGTCGCGGGTTCGAATCCCCCGTCACACCGAAACATGCCTCACCCGGTGTCCGAAATAAGACGTCAGTCCTACTACCGGATACTCAAGTCCAACATAATTCGGAGGTGTGAGAAACACCATACGAAACTACTACTACGGGTATCAAAAACCGGTTTTTAGCGTTATAAGCTTTCAAACTTACCACTGAGCCACTGGGGGTGCCACCGAAGGGAAGCAGTTCTAAAAATACACGTAGAGCGCTACGACTTGGAACTATTGTAATTTATTAGTTCATTTTTGTTAATAATATATATATATAGCAAGCTCATTTTTCAAATTCGTTTATATTAAATATTCATTATCAGCTATTGGGCCCACCCTCTGGTGCGTGTAGCAAATTCTGTGGTCTAATTTGAATCCTGAACTGTTTATGAAATGTTGAAATCCTTTTTTCTCGACCATTTCCAGTTTATTTATTCTGATTGTTTTCGTGCATAGGATACTCGCATAATATATTGTCAGGCAACTGTGTTATTTCATCACACTTGTGAGCTTAAAATGGGCACAGAACAGAAAGACCGAGAAACAAATTCAATTTCTCTCTAATTAGGCGACCTATACTATATAAGTCTAGCCTTCAGAAAGCTAATGATTAGAAATTAGTGTTGAGTTAAAGACCTCATTAACATTCAGTTATAGAAATGAAGAAATAATTGTAATACCATTTTGAAAATTGCAACGACTCTCGAGTTTTAAGCCATAGGGTATTATAGGGTGAAAAAGTACATTTTTTAGGCAACTACACAAGAATATTTCGATTCTAATAGTGTTGACCTTATTAGATACGCTAAAATTTGCAGTTAGATCCCTGCACTTGGCACAGAATTAATATGGAGCTTTTTTGCTAACAGGAAACAAATAAACTTAAGACTTTTCTTTGTTTGCTAATTATACATTGGATTTATTAGATGATTTTGTGGTGTTTGTCGTAGGCTGTTGCTGTAATTCTTGTCCCCCAGTGGCACAGCGGTATGTCTGCGGACTTACAACGCTAGAAACCGGGTTTTGGTACCCGTGGTGGGCAGAGCACAGATAGCCCATTGTGTAGCTTTGTGTTTAATTACAAACAAACAAACAAAGCTGTCATTCTTACTAAATATATCTAGGACTATCAGAGAAATTAGCCCGAATAAATATCGCCGCTCTGATAATTTGTGTTATAATTAATAAATGAATTGTGAAATTTTTTAACCTTAAAAGAGATGTAAGTATCTTTAGTATTATTACTTTTTAACTTGGATTATTTTAAAGATATATATCTAGATATAATTATTATTGATTTGATATTTGTAGAACAAGTTTATCTTTTTACTTTATTTTTTAAGGCCATTAGTGACAACGTTCAAAAAATTTTGCCCTTTGATAGTGCAGGCCTGGTGGTTACGGCGCTCGACTCGCAATCTGAGGGTCGCGGGTTCTTATCCCCGTCACCGAATCTACTAACCCTTTCAAAACAAACCAATTGATAGTGCATGACTCTTCTTCTCCTTTGCCTGCGCAGAATAGTAATAATATGTGAACAAGTTTTCTGGACATCATTAAGAATCTTTAGCGAACAACCGAGTTAAGGTGTTTTTTTTAAAGCTATGCTTTGTTAGTCTTGATTTACTGGAAGCGCTCCCCCTAAAAAAGAAAAACGTATTGCGATTGGAATATCCAAATCACTGTAATGACTCAGTCGTTTGCGAACTATTTAATTATTCTCTTTGAGTTTGTAAACTCACACGTCTCCTGGTGGCTCAATGGTAAATTTCGGGTTTATAACGCTAAAAACCGGGTTTCGATATCCGTGGCGGATAGAGCAGAAATATCCCATTGTGAGCTTTGCGCTTAACAACAAACAAATAAAATGTAAACTCACTTATGAGTTCATAAAGTAAAGAGAAGGATGCCGCCCAACAACTTTAGAATAATATTCCTTCGAAGTCTATGAAAACTGCGTTTTATAGATGGACTGTTTAAAACTCCAAGCAATTTACTTCATTGTCAGACGACCGAGAGGATTTCCTTTTCTCAGAAGATATTCATGGCCACCTTCGTTCTGATAAATGCTTACTTGCACAGTGTGTGACCACGACGATCCCCTGCGAGGCAGATGCACAGATCGGGTTCATTTTTGAACGTTATGATGGCTGCTGCCAACATGACAATGCATCATTATGACGTATTCATAACCCGTCACGTTCGATAGTGCTATACCATATAGCCTTGTCTATTAGCGAACTTTGAAACGAGACATGTTATAATTATTAACCTTTCTCGAATCAATAGGCAACTTTTAACCACTAATAGCATATTTACAATTGGTGTATCCACATAGTAATGTATGAAGTAAAACATGTACAGATAATGTTAACCATATCTTTCAATTTTAATTCAGTTATATCGATTGATATGCGAATACTAACTTTAAAGTATATAAAATGAAACATAAAAGCAACTTATTTCAATAATAAAAATTTAGCAAACTTGCCTCATAAATTAGAAAAGAAGAGAACACTTAAAAAAGGGCAAATCTGTAGGTTTGGGATAAATTTAGGGTGGTGAAGAAGGGGTAAAGTATTTATGTTTATATATGTACGTTTTATTGGTTATCCTTAAAAATACATACTTAAGTGTGATATATAAAAGTTAGTGCTGGCTATTACGCTGATTCATATTCATTGATAATTTATTGACCTTTTCAAGAATTGCTGTAAATCAACCCTAACAATATGTATTAACTAGTGACTTATTTGTTTGACTCTTAGTCTTTTATCGTATAAACCTATCCTAATTTCTGTAAACATATTTATATTTTCTCTAACATGTCAGTGAAATTAATTGCTTCAAGTTGAGGCTTCGAAACAATAAAAAATAACATTTTATAAATATTCACTCTCAGACATTTTTTAAAATCGTTATATCATCTAAGATCTCCTAATGGGTGAATTCTCCCTTCAGGAAAGTTATAACATTAGTTAAATTAATAGATTTAAATTACTCTTTCTTAGATTGGATAAATAACAATACTAAAACTGTTTGCTGCCATCCCTAATTTTGAGTTACTGACCACAGGGAAGGCAGCCAGTCAGAAGCACCTCACCACCCACAATCCATGCTAAAGGATTAATTGTTACTCTTTTAACACATCCACGGATTATATTGTGAGGATCACACGGATTTGCTCATTAGCGCCGAAATTCATAGCTCTACCACAGGGCCAACCGCCATCCTTTAGAAAGAGAAAAAGACAGTTTGTGGTTATTATTATATGACACTACGAATTTACTTTTGTTAACCTCACAAAAAGCCTCTCAAAAGCGTTGCAGGTTTACGTGAGGTCAAAGTTTCGGCCGCTAGACTAAGATTTTTTTTTTTAAAATAGAAAATCACAGGATGATCAGAAAGGCTCTTGCGATTTTCTTCACACTTAGCGGAAAATTGTCGTCAGTGTTCTAAAAGATTTAGGAAACAAGGAGTCACAAGAGTCTTATTTTTTGTTTGTTTATTTTAAATTTCGCGCAAAACTACTCGAGAGCTATCTGCGCTAGCTGTTTCTAATTTAAAAGTGATAAACTAGAGAGATTGTTTGTTTTGAATTATGCACAAAGCTACACAAGGGCTATCTATGCTCTGCCCACCACGGGTATCGAAACCCGGTTTCTAGCGTTGTAAGTCCGCAGACATACCGCTGTGCCACTGGGGGGCAACTAGAGAGATGGCAGCTAGTCATCACCACCCACCGCCAACGAATAGTGGAATTTACTATAATGGCCCACAGCTGAAAGGCGAACATATTTGAGGATGAGATTCGAACCTGCGACCCCCAGATAGAGAATCGAGTGCCTTAATTACCTTACCTGAATTCACAACTTTCTAAAGTATTGCCACAGTTAAAATTGTGTAATATATAACGGATTAGCCTTACCTTAATACCGAATTATTAAATTTGTAACATTAAAGCCATCAAGGGTAAACATTTGGAACATTAAGGCCATCAAAGATAAAAATTAGCAGGAGTAATAAATTAATGAATTGAGGGGTATACAGAGCATGAGATAAAAATAAAAAGTCTTGAAAAGCTTAGTTGTATTTTGGGAGTATTTTACAAAGTCGTGGCCTGATAAAGTAGTTAGTTAAGACGGCCTCTCAGGCAACAAGGATGCAGATTCAATTCAATCCTGATTGGTCTATTCACTTCTTTATAAAAGTTTACTCATTCCAAGTCTATTTTACACTCGCTAGTTTCTGTTTCGTATCTCTAGCGCAGAGCTACCCTACCCTACGAATAGTCTGCCTTTTCAAGATGAAAATTCACAGTCCTCTTTGCACTAGGGTACCTTGTTTTAGACATAAAGTCGATAAACATTGTCATTTATGTTCTGTGTTTCTGATAATGATATGATAAGTATGATTTTTTTTGCTAAGATTCTACTGGGACCTGTGTATGCTGTTCTTCCTGGTTGCCAACCTAATTGTCCTACCAGTGGCTATTTCTTTTTTCAATGATGACCTGTCTGCTCGATGGATTGCCTTTAACTGTCTTTCAGACACAATTTTTCTTTTAGATATCGTTGTCAATTTTAGAACAGGTAAGTAGACCTTTTTAACTCATCAAATAATTACCGACATAAATTTGGAAAATAGATAAAGTAACTTTTATTAACGACAAAGACAATCAAAGTGATGAGTGTATTCATCAATAAAAAAGTCATTGACTGGGTATCTGACTACAGACTTTTTCCAGATTAAGGCTTACTTCAGAGGATATCTGGCTATAGTTTTTTTTAGATTAAGGCTTACTTCAGACTGTAACTTGTTCAGAAATAGTAGAACATAACATTATGTGTGTAAGATTCTATATTGCCATTCCTATCAGTGTGCATGGGCAGCGCAAATCAGTGATGGCCATTTCGGTAGAAAAATAAAGAAAGATACATTCCAATGGCATCACCTGCCCCTCCAGTGGAAAATATCACTGTCCTCCTTTACACAGTATGTTTTATCATACAGAAATATTTTCCACGAGAACGTACATATGACACTAGAGGGGGAAATATCCAGAACAATCCTACATCAATCTTTCCCACGAGGAAGCACACGCGAAATCATAGGGAAAAGACCCAGAACAATAATACAGAAATCTTTCCCACGAGAAAGCACACGTGACACCATAGGGGAGAGATCCAGACAAAATACATAGAGCGAAAGGAATTTAACTAATTCCTCGACTGACGTCGTAAATCACACACACAATTAGAAAGGCTTTTATGTACAGAAATTTTGAAAATTTTAGGTGAACGCGAAACATACACCTTATTCAACTAAAGAAGACAAGAGACATTAAATATGATTGCATACTACAAGTATTTAAGGTTGAAGAGCTTTCCTTTTGAAACAATAATCGATACGTTGTGTTTAACAGCTTTTTTCAAACCGTTTTTTTTTCTTTTAAGTTTGTAAAGATCTCGTGCATTTGTCTTGACTTTCGTGTTTAGTATTTTTGTAATATTGAAGACAGAGTACCTCCTTTAGATACTTGAACAGTTGGGTTGCGAGTACAGGGAATTGCCCGACCTACAATACTTATTTTTAACTCCAAAACACCGTTTTTGTCGATATAAAAAGATGAGTAGAGAGAGAGACCTGGGTTGTAGAGCGTACGTTATGGAATAAAATCGGAGTTTATTGTGTTTTATATTTCAAACTTTTTTCTATTGTAAACTTGTTTCGAATATATATAAAAAAGTAAAAGCTCGAAAGTTAAGAATACCAATTCCAGTTCTCGGTGCATCAAGCAGTCTAAAAACAAAATCAGACAGAAACCTGGACCAAAGCTTTACACGCAATCTGATAGTTACCACAGAGCCCAAAGGTATATGCAATTCCAATTAATGGTCCCCTTTTTTTGACTCTGAGCTCTCAGCTCAAAATAGAAACGAATATATAGACTACATGAATCGATATGTTTTTACCTGCTATTTTATGCGAATTTCACGGTTTCAATTATGAATCTTTCGTTTCAGAAACAACAAGATTTTTATGTTTGGAAACAAAAATCAAAATGTTGATGTAAGTAAAAAATATAAAGCTCACTCGAATGATTAGTGTCCAAACATTGTTGACAAGGTTATATGTAGTATTTTACCAAAGCTTTTGTTCTCGGAGGTGTATTTGATTTTCTCACGTGGTTCTCAAATTATATGTATGTGGCATAAAACATCGTACAATTGATATCATATTATACATATGCAGTTACAAAAAATAGATTCGGGTGTGGTATAAAAAATTATAAAACTGATATCATATTATACATATGCAGTTACAAAAAATAGATTCGGGGTGTGGTATAAAACGCCGTAAAATAATACAAGCGAGTATATAAGCATGCTGAGTAAAAAATAAAAACTGTGTATTATACTGAAAATTGCAAAAAGAAGTAACTCAGAAATACAAAGTTAAGTTTCATATTTTACCATTTCGATGTAAATAACATTACATAAACCAGATTTGTTTGTATCAGTAAATTAGTAAACCTTATGATAATGAAAAGTTTAAGGTGTCGAAGTAAGGAAGATGAAGTAAAAATACGAGGTCAAAAAGTTCATGGATCAAAATTTAGTTTTAACCTTAAATCTGAAAATGAATTTAGATGTGGTGCAGTAAACTCAGTTATAAGTTGTCACAAATGTTGTTGAGATGTCAAATTATCGTTCGTTCATGTTCTCGCCATGGCTAAGACGTTTTCTACATGACTAATAATGCTTAAATTTCATCGTTGGTTAATATTTTCTTCGCAACTAATGATATCTAACTAATCAATTTTAGATGAGAATTAACTTTTTCTAATGATATTCAATTATTGTTGTTGAATCGTATTTTATTTTTTTCTAATGATATTAACTGATCATTGCTATTTAATGTGAGGTTAAATGAACATTGCTATTTAATGTGAGGTTAAATGAACATTGCTAGTTAATGTGAGTTTAAATTAACGTTGCTAGTTAATGTGAGATTAAATGATCGTTGCTAGTTAATGTGAGATTAAATGAACATTGCTAGTTAATGTGAGATTAAATGAACATTGCTAGTTAATGTGAGATTAAATGAACATCGCTAGTTAATGTGAGGTTAAATGAACATTGCTAGTTAATGTGACATCAATTGAACATTGCTAGTTAATGTGAGATTAAATGGTCGTTGCTAGTTAAAGTTTGTGTCCTCATTAATGACCCTCAGTTACATACACGTTACAGTCCATGTTACCAGGACAGGTCATACTCTGTCTGACGATCGTGCCTGTTGACAGTAGCTCTGTAGCATAGCTTGCATTGCAAGATTTATTTGTTTATTTGTAGTTAAGCACAAAGATACACAAAGGGCTATCTGAGCTCTGCCCACCATGGGTATCGAAACCCGGTTTCTAGCGGTGTAGGTCCACAGATATGCTGCTGTGACACTGGAGAGCTCATTGCAAGAGGACCCTCCGTAAGGATGTCATGGCCAAAGCTCATCACTACTCCCTGGTATCATTCCATATTCTGTTTAGTGTACGAGAACGACGATTTCCAAGCGTCAGTTTCAACAGTTTGGTTGCTGAGAAATCCAAAGGCGACTTGACTGGTATGTCTTCATAATGGCATGAATACCCGTTTCATTCTCCAGCTGCTTGAGGTATGCGGTGGTTGAAAGTGAGAAACGATTTGAAGCCTTATCTTGGTGAGCTCATATTCTGTAGGCCTCGTTATCAGACGAAGATTATGTTGCGGATTATTGCCTGGGATACGTTGATTACTTTTGCCACTGATCTTTGTGTTCGTGAATCCTCACCCGTTACAAGACTTTGCACTTTGCTTACCACGCTTGGTATACGACTTATTGCAGGTCTATTTCTGGTTGGTCTTGGTGTCCCAAGTTGATCAAAAAGGTACAATGCCATACCACCATCTTTCAAACTTTCAATTTCCGATTAGAACACATCATTATGATCTGAGTGTATGAATATGCTGCGACGGAAAGAACTGTTATGTAGCTTTCCCAAAAGCAATCAAGTTTAGGTGGCATCACACTACATACGAACGCCAAACAATGTCAAAATGTAGTTTTGGTGTGTTCCGACTTTATATTAGTTGTATTTATCACTTCACCTGATGATTTGGATATTCATAATCGTTTTAATATAAGATACTCAACCCTTTGTACTCCTTGAAACTAAAATACAACTTAGAATAACTTGAAACTAACATATAGTTTAGAATATTTTCTAGTTTTCTTTGATTTCAACATATTGTGTTTAGTATTTCTGTGAGAAACAAACCTGGTATACATATGTAGGGGATTTATTTTTATCTGAGTTCTTTCAACTATTGAATAATGTTGTCTCTTTAAAACTTTCTCTTTACATTTTTTTTCCGTATCTGTGTAAAATTGTCACTTGTAACGTGAGGCTTAAAATATGGATAATACTTTGGCCTCAGGTTTGTTTTGAGAATAAACTAGCTATCGAGGTGAACTTGGAACCTAAGGCTTAGAAACTGTTCCTAACCTTGACCTCAAGTTGACTTAACTAGTTACCGACACTAACTTGTAACATGAATCTGAACTAAACCTTTGTTTTCGAAAGTGAACTAACTGCTGACACTAACTACAAGCTGTTTGAGGCCCATTGGTTGTAAGAGGGTACCACAAAAGATCTAAGTATGCAGATTTGACGCACTTAAGGGACAAGTGTAATAGTTCCTCATCTCCTGTGATTTCTAGATCATAACTAGGTTCTGAAAGTCCTAACAATGTCCAAAACCTAAAGATTCATTACCGAATTCATAAGCCCCCCAACGGCTCAGCGGTAAACCTAAAGACATATAAAGCTAAAAACTGGGTTTGGATGCCTGTGGTGGGCACAGCAAAGATAGCCCATTTTGTAGCTTTGTGCTTAACAACAAACAAACAAATCAAATCCTCAACCCTCGATGGATAAGGTGAATAATTTTCCTTTTCATCTTATGATCGTTCATACCAAGGGTATGAGTCTTCCGGTGGAATAGCGGATTTACAACGCTAAAATCAGGGGTTCGATTCTCCTCGATGGACACAACAGATAGCCTGATGTAGCTTTGCTATACAACACACACACAAGTGTATAAATGATCAGGATCATTTTATATCTACTTCTCTGTGTTAATTAAATCCATGACAAAGTATTTTCAAGAACAATCAGACAAAATCAAAATCTAGTCAGTTACTTTACTTCATATAAAAAGAGTATTCATTTAAATAAGTTGTCATCGACTTAAGTTTGCTCTTTCCTTACTTTTGTTGACTGTTATGTCAAGAAAGATGCTAGTTGAATATTTTTTCTTGTTTAAGCCATCGTCAATGATCGGTTTTATTTTTTCAAATTTCAAAAAGTTTAGGATTCCGTATAATAAAAGTATACATTTAAAGATATAATTATGTTGCTATGATTTTAGGTATTTGAGTTATGTTTGAGTTATTATATATATATTTATGATAGCCATAACATATCATATTTAAAAGGTGATTATTGACCGTCGTTTTTGTAAAGAGGTAACTAAAATTGGGTCATCGTATTTTATTTCTTTTAGGAATAATGAACCATGACAATTCGGAGCAAATTATTTTAGATCCGAAACTCATTGCTAAATACTACATCCGGACCTGGTTTTTCCTGGATTTGATTAGTTCCATCCCCTTGGATTACATATTCCTCATCTTTAACAAGGACTACAGTGACAACTTTCAACTCCTGCATGCTGGCCGAGCTTTGAGAATTCTGCGGTTAGCCAAAATGTTGAGTTTACTGAGACTGTTACGTGTGTCAAGATTGGTGCGTTACGTCAGCCAATGGGAAGAGGTTTACGTAAGTTGTCGTCTTCTTTAAAAATACTCCTGATTAAAAACTTCTAACCTTTTCGGTTGAAATCATAAAATTGTTTTCCCACGAAACAGTAAAATATGGTTATATGATCGTTTTTCTGTGGTACAATCACAAGATTCTTGAAAATATCTTACATTATTGTTTTTTTTTTCTAAATATTTTGTACCTTAGTAAAACATTTAATGACGAACTTATTAAAGAATAATAAAAAGGAATTACTGTTTGGTGCGTGATTAACATATTTTGTATTATATCATGTCACTTAGATATGACGTCAGCAAACTCAAGAAACTCTTGTCTAACAATATTCTTGTAACTCAAAATAACTCTTCTAATAATTAAACATAAGAATACACTTAAGGTGCTTCTATATATATTTATCATTATTTCTCAATTCAGCCGCTAGGATATAGTTGTGTACTAGTAGATTTAAATATGTACAAAAATTCGTGCACATGTTTACAGTAGTTGTTAATGTGCTAATTGTTAGCTTGTATCAGCCAGTCAAATGGCCTTTTACAGTTTGAAATAAGTGTACAGCCAATCAAATGGCTACTTAAAGATTGGAATTAATTAAATATATCAGCCAATCAAAAAGCCACTTACAGTTTGAAGTTAAATAAATGTAAATCATACCAACGTGTTTGGTCATGTTGGGAATTACATCAATCGCTAGGCAAGTTTGGTTAACTATTTCATAAATGTAGTTTTCTGAACTTTTCTAAATCTCAAAAATGCACTTGTAATATCAAATTGTCATTATGCAATAAAATTTAAGTCTAAAACTACAAGGCCGCGAAGATGCACATGGAATACAAAGAGTTTCTGAATGGACTGAATTTTATATGGACTTCTTCTGCGTTCTTTTTTTTTCTCTCGAGACGACATTCTGGGCTCCTTGCTGATTATTCATAAAAAAAACAATCTGGTAAAACTAGAAGAAGTGGTGACACGAGAGTTTCTGAACATAAAAAAATTAAATTAAATATGGAAACATGAACAATGCAATTTTTCTTCGTATGTGAGATTCTGGCCATCAAAGCGGTTAGAAATCAACCAGAAGTTTATAGAAAAGTATGATTACATAGAAAAAAGGGTCATCAAAATGTGGCCCGGCATGGCCAGGTGGTTAGGGTGCTCGACTCGCAATCTGCGGGTCTCGGGTTCGAATCCCCACCACACCAAACATGCTCTCCCTTTCAGCCGTGGGGGCGTTATAACGTGACGGTCAATTCGTTGGTAAAAGAGTAGCCCAAGAGTTGGCGGTGGGTGGTGATGACTAGCTGCCTTCCCTCTAGTCTTACACTGCTAAATTATGGACGGCTAGCTTTGCGCGAAATTCAAAAACAAAACAACAAAAAAAAAACTGTCGTAAAAATCCGCTTAATTGAAAGGCTGTTTAGTTTCAATACCTCCCAAGGTCACTTTAAGTTTTAATGGAATTCGAAGTTTCGGGGTCAGTTAGGCTTTGTTGACCAGTTTTATTGCCAACACTGAAGACGGCGCATGAGTGTGTCTAAACTAGTTTCTCTAACTATTAAGACTTCTGACAGTTTGTTCCATTTACTGTGGTTTTTCACTATCCCTGCTGATTCTTTCATCAGGTAGAGGAAACCGAAGCGTCGCCTCGAAATCCAGAGAAACGGCAGGAGTCCATAATAACAGAAGTAGAAAATCAAAAACTGGTCTTGCAACTTAATTCACACGTTCCTATAACTCTTATACAAGCTATCACTGAGATGCTCACGAAATCCCATAGACAGGTAACAACAGGTCGCAACACAACAAAATTAACACAAAGCAAAGAAACATAACAAGTACATAGAATTAAAGGTGACTATTGTAAATATCAAAGATTAACTAACTGTAACACAACAAAATTAACACAAAGCGAGGAAATAAAGTTACATGAAATTAAAGGTGACTATTGTTAATAACAAAGATTAGCTAATTGTAACACAACAAAATTAACACAAAGCGAGGAAACACAATTACATAAAATTAAAGATGAATATTTTGAATAACAAGGATTAACTAATTGTAACACAACAAAATCAACACAAAGTGAGGAAACACAACGAGTACATATAATTAAATGTGAATATTAGTAATAACGAAGATTAACTAAGTGTAACACAACAAAATCAACACAAAGTGAGGAAACACAACGAGTACATATAATTAAAGGTGACTATTAGTAATAACGAAGATTAACTAAGTGTAACACAACAAAATTAACACAAAGAAAGAAAACATAATGCGCACATGAAAGTAAAGGTCACTTGCTTTTCAAGCGAATATCAGAACAATGGTTTACTACTAACAGGTCATAAAACATTTTTAAATAATTAGCGCCTGTTTAGTTCACGTTACGTATATTTTTTTTATCAATGTATTATTCCAAAACAAGATTGTTACAAATACGGAAAAGAGTCTTTATATTTTTCATTGTTGATGTTTAATACTTTATGAGTGTTGACAAACTTATATTCATGTCGTTGTACGTATAACACTATACATCTGAGAGAATGAAGTTTGTACGTGTTATCACGTGTTATTTTTCAGTTCCAACCGCCATCAATCAGACATAAATCTAATTATTACAGCATATTTATTAACAGTTAAATAATGCCAAGAAATTAGATTGTATTTTAAATATTTTCTCAATAAAATCATAAAACTAAACGTATTTGAATTTTTCTGAGGATTCTTAAGACATGAGAGAAACCCTCTGGGACCCCGACATAATTATCCTCTAACCTAACGGTGTAAAGGTTTTTAATACATGTACAAATATTTCAACCGTTTGGGATTGGGTCAAGACGTCAACGGTTTGTTTCGTAAAACTGATCAGCCTATTAATCTTCGCACGCGACAGAATCAACTCAGTAAAGTTTTAGTAAGGACACTAGGTATAGATTATGTATTTTAACAAACTTAAGCGCAGGTTCTAAAGGACTCTTTCAAAGCTTTTCTTGATTGAAAACCTATGTTTTATGCAATACTAAACAATCACTCTTTATGAAATAACGCTTGCTTTATTTTTATTTTAAACTGTCAAGCCACTTAATATCTTACTATGGAAAACATATTAATACCAATCCATATAACATGTCATTTATATGTCACTTCTAATATGAAGATTGCTTACGATTTTGACCTTAGATTTCCAGTACGGTTATATATATATATATAAATTTATCTATCAATATTTATGATTTGTTCTCTTCCATTTCTGGAATTGGGGCATTGCATCAAAAAATCAAATAAAAAAAAACATGTGCTGCCAAGTAAAATATTTCATGATTGGAGTTAGTTCGTGACGTGAGCTTTCCGATGGCTTAGCGTTAAGCCTTAGGGCATGTAATGCTAAAATTCGGAGTTCGATATCTGTAGTAAACACAGATAGTCCACTGTGCAGTTTTGCTCTTAAAATAAACAAACGTCGGACGTGGATGAAAGAAGTTAAGACGTTGCATTGTCTTTGTAAGGATCTTTTACAGCATAGATTTTGTATATAAGTAAACCTCAGAAAAAGGAAGGTTGTGGGACGATGCTTTTTCCTTCATTTTTTTTAATGGAGTGATACAACTCTTGAAAATATAACTGGAATTTCGTCGATGCAGGGAGTAATCATTAAGTTTTACTTACTGCGTATGTTTTTTTTATATTTATTTCTAAAATTCAGGAGATATTCCCTGTATGACGTATATGTATTTCATAAATTATCTTTTTAGCGGGGCTACCAGTTAGAGCGCTTGTTGCACACTTGGAGAGACCATGGAAGAAAAGGGGAACAGATGACTAAGGTAAATAGCTTATACTCCCTAGCAAAAAAAAAAAAGTTAGTAGTGTTGGTGACTGTGGGGTCAACAATTCAGGCCAAAGCCTTCTATTGGTAATATCCTAAATCATTGATAACTAATAAAACATACGGAAACAAATTCGGACTAAAACAGTAGATTCTCAAGACATTTACCAAATTGGGTGGAAATAGCAAAAAAAAGTACTATGCATAATTGTTAGTTGTTTTATCTTAAAGATGAATAAATAATAGAGATTGAAAGAGCAAGAAAATAGAATAATTAAGATATCTAATCGATAAATGAAATTTAAGAAGAAAGGAATGAAAAATTATTATGTTTAAAATGTAAAAAAAACAATAATAACACCAGAACTGTATTTTTAATACTTATATTATAAAGTTAAACAGTACTTTGTCAAACGAAAGACAAGTACTTAAAATATTGTGAAGATTGGTGGATTAGTTAGACAACAACGAGATAGAAAAGTATATCATTTTCCATACACATCACTAGGATTTTCTTTATACACGCTACTATAATCCCCATTTCCATCTGCCAAGCATGTCCTTACAATAATCACCATTTTCACTTGCCCTGAATGTTCCTACTAGAGCGTGTCCTTACTATAGTCCCCATTTGCACTTGCCCGGCATGCCCCTACTAGAGCGTGTCCTTACAATAATCACCATTTTCACTTGCCCGGAATGTTCCTACTAGAGCGTGTCCTTACTATAGTCCCCATTTGCACTTGTCCGGTATGCCCCTCCTAGAGCGTTTCATTTATTTGTATATATTAAATAAACATACCACTCGATATTTCAGGTTTTTTGTTTGAGGCCTATAAATGTATAGATTTTGTCATATCAAAATAGACTGCGTTAAAATAACGAGTAAGGGCAAATGATTTTTTCTAGTTGTAAAGTGGCATGAAAGTGGGCGATTATCTAGTACGAAGCTCGCTATCAATGACTGTTTCATTCTCCTGCTATTCAAGTACTTCTGTCACCATAATCTATCAACTGACTGAGTTGTTCGACACTATCTACAGCTGTACAGTGTAAAAGAAAGTATGAAAACTATTCCATAACAACTAACAGCCGACAACATGTCCGAAAACCAATCTACTTAAAGACAAACAAGAAAGCAGAGCTTTAGTGGTGGCTAGAACACGAAATGAGAATAATAAATTATTTGAGGTGTTTGATGTGGTCTGATGAGTTGTATTTTACTTTTTCTTGTGCTGCCATTAAGCTAAAAATGAGGACAAACCTTCATAAAGAACTTTATCCTGCGTATTTTGTTCTGACAGTGTATACAGGAGTTTGTTCTTTTGGTTTCAATATCATCCAGTATATTTTTGAAAGTTTCTGCTGATCGTGCTCTATCCACAATGCTTCAATTCCACACTGGTGGGTAAAAACCCTTTCAAGACGGTAATACAGCAGCTCGACGCTCTAGTATTTGTCCGCAATTGGTTCAAGAAGCATGATAGTGACTTCAGCAATCTTCTTTAGTAAACAAAGTCCCAAATCTCCTCCATCCGATTGAACATCTTTATAGTGAACTTGAGCGTGACATCCGCCAAAGCAAGCTTCTGCTGTCATCTGTAAATCAACTGGGCTTCTGTGGAGTCTCTACCACATCTAGTGCATGTTAAAAAGTGGGCTGTAAAGATATCAAGTTGAGGCTTTTATTTCACGTGTTTACATTGATGCTAGTGGAGGCAGGTCTTATTGATTTAGATGCAAAGGAAACTATAAGAAGGATTGGCATTACAATTACGGAACAAAATGGCAGTTTTCAGCATGGCAACAATAATCTTAGATTTTAAAGCTAATTTTGCCACTAAATTTCTTATTCTGTAAGGACAAAAGGTTGGATTACTTGGCTACTTCTTTATTTTGCAAAACCGATAATGAACTCGATATTCCTTGTCCAGACTTTTGTATCCTTTAGGTGTGTTTGACTGTCAGATTATAGTTGTTATGAGTTAAAATCCCCAAGAAACTAATTACTATGGATTCAACTATTTTTTTACAAATGAATAATTATATATTATTATCACATGGGATTAAGCTAGTAAGCAGAAAAAAACAACAAAAGATTCACAGCTAAGTTTTTTTCTAATTCATTTCGAGAAACAACAACAAAATGAGAACTAGACGAAAAGATTCATTGTAGCCAAAACCAGAGAAACAGATGTATAAATTTTCAAAGAATTGACTTATTTTCTGCACATTTGTTTTTTCCTAGTTTAATCTGAAAAATAGCCTTTCATTTTCGGAGTATTTTAATTCCTCATTTTTACCAAATTTTACCTATTCTACGTAGAGGGATCTTTAGTAAAAAAAAATCCTTTGCTTGCATTTTTACTCTTCCAGAAGTGCGACTAGTCTGTTATAGTAGCTTATGGGAATGAAACATTCTGCGTAAACCTTGAATTAAACAATATTCTTGTATTTTTACACCTAAACATGTTATTAACAATGTTTTGTAAGAAACGCATTTTAAAAGTGGCCAATTTTGCATTACTATTTCACAAAACAGTAAAAAGGACTTTGCTAAGTTAAAATATTTTATATAATGAGCATGGCTATAAGTTACATGAAATAGAGAACCAGAAATTGAAATTTCTTACTTCCGTTTTTAAAGTCACTTATGAACCTTAGAAAATAAGCTCTATTTTACAGGACGGCTTAAGTACAAAACTCAGTGACTGTAGTTTTCAATAACTATTCAATACACGTTTAGTGACTGTTCTATGGTCTTTTCAAAGCTATAGAGCACTATTGTATTTATTCACAAAGCCTCATTATCGACTTTTCTTCATTACGGGCTCAACCTGTACTTTCGTATGGTGGACAACGTTGCGGGTTTTGTCTTTACTTTAGTTTCAGTCGGCTGCGTTATAACAAGTTTGATGGTCTGTACTATATGTTGGATTTACTGAAAGACTGCTTTCAGTTGAACACTCGGAAACAAACCTTTTCTTCCTTTGTTGTACCCGTTCGAACTGCTACTTGGAATGCAGCTGTTGCCTCAACTAATCATTTTACTGCGAATCAGGAAATATGCTAACAAGGAATTCAAAAATATTTTTCTTGAAGGATATTTCATATTTTCAAAATTAACCTAACACAAGCCGTTTTCTTAACAAATTTATCAAACTATGTCATAAAAAATTTGGATATCACATTTCACTGTGAAAACAAGATCGTTAACAGATTCATCAATGGATATTTTTAAAATGCCATAATGTTTGAAATAAACGTTAGTAACTATAGATGATCCTTGTTGTAATATTACTTCAGGCTTAGTCGTGAAAAAAATTCTATTAAACTGTAGTTTTAAAAGAACTGAGCAATAGTTTTTTAAACACTTTTCGATGTTTCGTGCATTGTAATAATGTAAGGATAGAGTTAATGAACTGGTTTTAGACATTTTAAAATAATACATTATACTGATTCACAACATGCACTATGTAGGACGAATTTCATATCGTTTCCACCAAGTCAGCGGTGCCTAAACCCATGACATCAAAGCAGTTAACAACACATTTTTCGAACAAACAAATATGTGGGGGCTTTATTATGTGACGGTCAATCCCACTATTCGTTGGTAAAAGAGTAGCCCAAGAGTTGGCGGTGGGTGGTGATGACTAGCTGCCTTTCCTCTATTCTTACACTGCTAAATTAGGGACGGCTAGCGCAGATAGCCCTCGTATAGCTTTTCGCAATGTCCATAACAAACAAACAAACAAACAGGACTTCTTCATTAGATATATATTTATCCGTGAATTTGAAAGTGTTTTTAATGTTCAGCCGTGTGCCTTTTCCCGTCCGTGAACGTTCGAATTCATAAACACCATACTAACTACTTTGCGTTTCGAGATTAAAACAAATATATATGCCAGATCTAAACTGGAATTTGTATTGTAATAAATTTTGCTTTGTTTGTTTCGGAAACTCGCGTTAAACTATCTCAGGGATACTCGCTCCAACAGATCATAATTTGCCAGGCAATATCACTCACAGTCAACTTTTGGGCTAGAGTTTAATCGAACAGTCGAGTTTGGCCGTCGCTCTTTTAATTTTTGCAGCTACGGGACTCGATCCAGAGACTTTCAGATTCACAGTCCGACAAGTTAACCATAAGGCTATGCACATCTCAACGAATGTTACTACGTTTACGAATTAATCAAGAATAAACATAGAATATATTTAAACTTTGATCATTTTGGCATTAATATATTTGTCTAAAGAACTTCGTTGCAATTCTGATTAACTTTTGGTTTATGTAGCTGAGTTCGTACAGTTCTTCTTCGTTATATGCTATGAAAGCAGCAAATGGATTCTTTTATAACTGTTGGTCTAGCGTTTTAGATCTAGTCTTCTTTAGGCCTTTTAGTAACTCTTAAATTTAAAGTCAGTCTTTGGAAATGCAACTTGAAAAAAAAATCAGTTTTCTGTTCTGCAGTAGAATACCTTGTTTTTGTTATGTGTAGAGCGACTATAAGAGTGTATATAATGTAAAGTAGGCTTTGCGAAACGTTAATCTTTTGCAATCGAAATATGTTGGAGATATTTTATATTAATCGAAACTTCTGATCAAAAGTAAATGAACTATACAGATCGTTGTTAACGATGTTTTCGACCGTAATCCTAACAATAGTCTCAGTTCATAAGGTTCGGCCAGCTTAGTTCTAAGTCCTTTTACTACGTCCGCAATACAAAACAAATTACTGAATAATTTTTTAGAAGTATTTTAAACACTGCTTGTTATAGATCGTACAGGTCAATCATTAAACTGATTAATTAACTTCACGAACGAGATTTCAGATGCATTTTCAGTGTTTTCACAAACATCCACCCACATACATACATATATATGTGTATAAAACGCCCTCAACTCTCAGTAATATATAAGTACAGCTATGTGGTTACCTAAAGTTGCAATTTACGAATAAACAAATTGAGCAAAATATTTTTATTAAATTTGCTAATCTAAAGATATATAGTAGACAAGTTTATTAACTTCTAAGATATATATAAGTTTATGTGCTAATTATTGAACAATTCTTTCCGAGAGTAAGAATTGTCCATTTAAGGCCTAATAGATCATGTGTTATCAGTGTTGTAACAAGGTTGTTATTATTTCTGTACTTTTTTCCAATATTATGGTGACAATCTTGTTAGAGAAAACACTTTTCTGTTCCTCGTTTTTGTAGGTATTTTTGTCGCACCACTCAATATTATGAACACTTTGGAAAAAGTCATAGGATCGACAATACTTTTCTTTCTATAGAAAGGAACATTTTTAGTTATTTGTACAACAAAAGCAACCTCTCGGTTATCAGGTGTTTCTATTTGCTTCCGTTTCTGCTAAATGATAAAAAACAGAAACTCCACTATTAAATTATGATTGATGCATTAAGTGCTCGCGAGTTTGTAATTACTTGAGAAGCAGCATCTCTATGGAGCTTCTGTCAGGCAACAAGATGTGTCCTTTTTTACTCATTATCTCACAGTGCTTTGCAAGCTTATGAAGCCTAGAGTTTCTAGTATTGGTACACATTAACTGGAAAGATAAAGACACATATATTTGTATTGTGCTTTTTAAAGTAAACATCTATCAAACATAACATACGAAAAATAAGGGACCATTTAGTGCTTCGAGAGTGTGCTTGCACAGCTACCCTAGAGAAAATTAAAAAGTTAAACCATCCTTTATATTTCAGGAAGTAATCAGTTCCTCTCTCAAACTCCTGTAAAGTACTAAACTTCATTACTGCCGACGGAAATTCAATGGATGAGTCAATCACCCCGTTAGCAAAATAAAACTGTCGTAATTGGAGCCTAGCCTATCTTTTCCAAGTCTTCCGAATAGAGCACAAATATATCAGAGGACGTTATTCTATCGATCCACCAGTTAATCTTGTAAACTTCAATAAGATCACCTCTTACACTTCTCTTATCAAGAAAACATAAATGAAAAGGACTTAACATATCCTTGTAAAATAACTCTTCCGTTCCCGTAATTATCCTATTAGACCTTCTCTGAACCATTTTCAATAAGTCAATACCCTTTCTGAGATAAGAAGACCAAATATATACACAATATTCAAAGTGATTTGTATATGAAGCTAATTTCCCCTTTTGACTTGTAATCAATATGTATGTAAATATACCCTCAAATTCTATTAGCCTTGCAACTAGCAACAAAGCACTGCTTCGATGATTTGAGTAACCACGTATCCACCACTAGGTATTCCAAGATATTTTTTCAGTCATTCTGTTGTGTAGGTTCTATCTATATTAAACTTGTGATTGAAATTATGATAACTCAAATGAATTACCTTGCGTGTATTGTAATTGAAGGTCATTTGTCAAATATTCGTCCAACTTACCAACCGATCCAAGCAATTCCATAATACCTCAATACAGCTAGAAATACCCAATACTTTAATGTCATAAGTAAACTATATTAATTATTCATCTATCAATATTATGAATGTAAACAAGAAAAAAGCAAAAATTGAAGCAATGACCACTGAAGCACGCTAATAGTAACAAAAGTCCAAGTTTACGGGACTCCATTAATAACATATTTTCGATTTCACCCATCCAACTACCCTATAATACAATTAACAAGTCTTTCCTCAACTCCTACAAATGGAATATCTTAGCTAATATTTTGTGTGGACCCTATCGAAAGCTTTTTGAAGGTCTAAGTACATCAAATCTACGTCCTTTCTATCGTCCAGATAACAAATAACATACTCGAGAAAAGATAACAGATTACTAAGACGAGATTTCCCTTTGATGAATCCACGTCGACTTTCATTAATTAATTCATATTTTAGTAAATGATTTACCACTGCATATTTTCTCAGATTTGAGAACTTTTCCTACTTCTGAAATAAGACTAACTGGCCTATTATTTCTATGACAAGTTTTATCACCCCCTTTGAAAACATAAGTAACATTAACAACACTCGAATCCTCAGACACCTACCCACTGTCTATTAACCTACCCATAATTAAAGAGAAATACTTGCACCTCTTATCCGTGTCCTCTTTTAAGAACCTTGAAAAAAACCTTGTCTGACTCTGCTGCTTTATCTATTTTCAATTTATCAATCTTGAAAAAACTTTGTCTGACTCTGCTGTTTTATCTATTTTCAATTTATCAGTCTTTCTACTAACCTCCAAGAGATTAATAACTTTATGATTCAAGTTAATTCTAATATTTCCCAAAGAATGTTTCTCAGGGTCAGGATTTTATTATCTTGTAAAAACACAAAAGAATAAAACATTTGAAAGCTCGTACAGCCAGCCATTTAATAGTCTTCAACAAAACATTGTCATCAGGATCTTTTAAGGACCTAGTCCAGATTTTAACAACTTGTTTACCTTTAACATGTTTAAAAATCCTTGCTGTTAGTTTTAATACTATCGGCCAGTTTTTGTAAATCCTTTTGGATTTCCTTATTCTTTTTTAACCAAAGATGAGGTCATGAAAGCCTTGATGTAGTTCTCGTATCTTAATCCAACACTATAAGATGAGATCAAGAGAAGTCTAGGTATAGTTTCTATAACTTAACCCTTAAGATGAGGTCAAGAGAAGTCTGGGTGCAGTGCCTGTAACTTAATCCAATACTGTATGATAGGATAAGACCTAAGTGTAATTCCTATATCTCAATCCAGCCCTAAGATGTAATCAAGAGAAACCTGACTTTGGTTCCTATAACTTATCCCAACACTCTAATATGAACTCATGAGAAACCTGCATGTTGTTTTTGTATCGTAATTCAAAATACGAATTTGTTACTTTAATCTCTTTAACTCTTCTTTTGGATATCAAAATGAATCATCTTTACTACTTTTCTTGGATAAGAGTATATCTGCACTTTGTATAAGGCATTTGTTGTTGCTGTTAATTTATCTCTACTCTTGAAATGTAGGAGCCTTGACAAAATAAAATCGTCACTTCTGTTTCTACAAAAAACGCAGGAAACTTAAATCAAAAATTTCCATCACTATTGACAGAAAGAATCTAGAAAACTGATTGCGTATTCTTGCGTTAATGTTGAAAGTAGTGTTTTCATTTTTAGAACACAAATCTTACTAATGATTGTTTTTTAGAGATGTTTGCATTTTTGTACTTTGGAACATCCGTTTGTAAGGGTATGAATAATCGACTTTCTTTACAACTTTTCTTTTTCATTTAAATCTAGATAGAAATGGTGTATTATTTAAATATCGATCACGGAAAATATCAAGGCGTATTCGTCATCTGTCTATTTATCTATCGATTTTAGAATTGCTGACATATTCAATAGCTCGTAAGTGTTTCTGGTCACAAGGTTGTTATTGAACATGGTAACGAGAATAGAATCGTTTCTGTCAATGGAATAATATCATATAATCGTTTCTGTCAATGGAATAATATCATATATATTATACGTATAGCATAAGTGTTTTTTATTTCAGTTCTTAAACATGGCGAATATGTTCATGAAAATTTTCAACTTGATATGCATGATGCTGCTAATTGGCCACTGGAGCGGCTGTCTCCAGTTCTTAGTTCCCATGCTCCAAGGATACCCTCCTAGCTCCTGGGTTTCTATAAATGAACTCCAGGTGAGATGTGGAAAAAACACAATATTTTATCATTTTTAGCAGATTTTTTTGCATCCTAGTTTTATCTCTATTTCCTGTTTTCCATATTCCTACAAAAATTTAACAGTTATAAGCGTTTTGTTACTTAACTTAAAATTTGACCTTTTATGTTTGTGTATTGTATACAAAAAGAGAATTTTTGCTTTGCACTGCTTCATAAATTTTCTTCTCTTGTTGAGATAAAAAAACAAACAAAAAAACTACGAACCTGACAGTTGTAGTTCAAGATTTATACACTTTTCTAGAAACCACATGGAAAAGATAGAATTAATAAACAAAAATACTTTGTTTAGGAAAATTATATGACGTTCTGAAACTTTTGAAAGAAAGTGTCCAGCATTTAGCTTGTTACATCAATGTCGAAAAGGTTTAGCTAAATTCTATTAGAAACGGTAACAACAAAAAATATGTTGTTAGAGACAAACTATCCTGAAGGAAAAACGCATTAAAACAGCGAATATCAAGTGATTCCACCTGATGTAAGCATTAAGAATTTCGAGTTCTGTCATTGGAGAAATGAAACCTTCGCAGAACCATTGAGTAAAAACTTCTTCAATGTTGATAGATATTTTGTTGAGAATAAAACGTTTACAATGTAATAACAGCTTCTGTCATAAATGTAAAAGCACTACCACAATCAGACATACAAATTGTTAGAGAAATCACTATTTTTAAATTGAGGTTAGAAGTATATTTTAGGTGACAACGTCGCATGAAAATGTACAGACATTTTTGAAACAAATTGAAAGAAAGGTGTGAGTGTGAAAGTGGCCTAATTTACACACACACTATTTATCTATCTGTTTAATTTGTTTTAGGCGCCAGTCAGGGATCGAACCCCGAATCGTAGTATTATAAGCCCTCAAACGTACCGCCGATTATCCACTGGTGGCATTCATTTGTGAGTGAAATCTCATAACTTCAGTTGTAACATCACACAATAATATCCTAGGATGATTTTCACAAAGTTCCTATTATTCTAGCTAGATCCGTGTCCAAAAACTTGAGATGTTTTACGGATACAATATTTACGTTTTTTAATTAATTGAATATACTGTCACGTGGTTAATTATACCACGGTGCTGTATTCATTGCACTAGACGGATGTGTCGAAGAAATAAGCAAGGACAGACATGATAATGCAACTTCAAAGACTCTGTTAATTCCATTTATTTTTCGTTCCGTAAATATTTTCATCCATTTACTTGTGATGCTGTACATGTGATCGTTGTGAATAAACTTTTCTTTTGAGGATTTAACTTCTAAGAAACACCGATGTTGTAACATGGTTAAATAAAAACGAAACTTTTTTACAATGATAATGTTGGATAGTGGTGTTCGATACTATTGAGAAAAAAATAACAATAACAAAAATTAAAAAAAAACTTTTAGAAGGATCTTAAATTCAAACAGACAAGAATAAACGGATTTGTAAGTTTGAATAATTCTATGTAATTGACAAAACAAGACGATATAGTGGTTCATCTGATAATCAATTTCTGTAGATGCGAGCCAAGCTCATCCTAGTGGTTAGCGTGTCTGGAAATGTTGATCTAAGGATTTTGAGTTTGCGTCTCTTTGCTATAACAACGCTCTCTGCACTTTGGAGCTATGGGTACATTGTAAGAGTGAAGGTCAAACCTTACTATTTGATCAGGCAAGAGTAGCTCAATAGTTGACGGTGGATGCTTATTGACAAGCTGCTTTCCCTCTAGTCTATAAGCTTGCTTACAATTAATAATTCTGTTTACTTGTTATTAAGTACAGAGCTACACAATAGGTTATCAGTGCTCTTCTGCCTGGCGTCGGGATCGAAACCCATTTTTAGCCTTATAAGCTACCAGGGACCAAAATTGGAGATGGCTATGCGAAAATAGCCCTTCGTGTAGCTGTGCGCAAAAATGTTCTGAAACGAATAAATAATCTAGGATGCAATGATAAAAACCATTATCACTTAGTATGTATTCATTGCATGACCCTGTTGGGTCAGCGTTAAGTTTATGGATTTATACTGGTAAAATCCGGGGTTTGAGTCCTTGCGTCGGACAGTGTTCAGATTGTGTAACTTCGCGCTAAAACAACAACAACAACATTGCATTATGAATGTTAATTTTTCCGATATTGATATTTTTCATTTGTTTTTCAGGACGTAGTTTGGTTTGAACAATATTCCTGGGCCTTATTCAAAGCCATGTCTCACATGTTATGCATTGGTTATGGGCGATTTCCGCCACAGAATCTGACGGATATGTGGCTAACACTACTAAGCATGATTAGTGGCGCCACCTGTTATGCTTTATTTCTTGGTCATACTACGAATCTCATTCAGACATTGGATTCGTCTAGACGTCAGTACAGAGAAAAGGTAGGAATTATTCAACTATTCAAAGACTAATAGAAAATCACGCCTTTAAGTCCAAAGTAAAGTAAAGATAGACAGTAAAATTATATTTAATTTCAGGTTTAAACTATGAACTATATCGTGTTATCCTCGTTCCTACATTCAATATTTCCTAGTAAGTTTGTTAACAAACATATTATTTTTCTCAGCAGATCATTCATGTAATGGACTCTTTGTTGTTTTTTTTTGCAGGTGAAACAGGTGGAAGAATACATGGCTTACCGTAAACTGCCTCGCGACTTACGACAGCGAATTACGGACTACTTTGAGCACCGCTACCAAGGAAAGTATTACGACGAAGATGTTATTCTTGGAGAGTTGTCTGAAAGATTACGAGAGGTTTGTTTGTTTACTGTGATTTTGGTACTTTTGTTTTTTCAGATCTGTTGGGTTTGCAGTTTGGGTTGTTGTTGTTGCTTTTTTCAATACTTTAGCGTTCTTATGGCTTATTTGCTTTATCTTCTTTATTTGTTGAATGCCTTATTGGTTAATCACATCCTCCTTAATTAATATATCTTAATTGTACCAATTAATTATAATAATTTTCGTGTACATTTGTTATTTGTCACTGACGTTGACATGGGCGTCATTGAAGAGAGGCAACAGGGACGCTTCCAGGCTTGGGAGGGGATCGGCCCGGCATGGCCAGGTGGTTAAGGCGCTCGACTCGCAATCTGAGGGTCGCGGGTTCGAATCCCCGTCACACCAAACATGCTCGCCCTTTCAGCCGTGAGGGCGTTATAATGTGACGGTCAATCCCACTATTCGTTGATAAAAAGAGTAGCCCAAGAGTTGGCGGTGGGTGGTGATGACTAGCTTCCTTCCCTATAGTCTTACACTGCTAAATTAGGGACGGCTAGCGCAGATAGCCCTCGTGTAGCTTTGCGCGAAATTCACAAAGCAAACAAACTGGGAGGGTATCCCAAATGGAGTTGCTGTGAAACGTTTCTAATAAAGGCCAAATTAATACATATACGCCATAGTTTAGGGCTCCAAGCTGACTTGGGGAGACCCACGTAAGGTCCACTTCCTTTGCCCCCTCCTCCGCAGACCGTTTGTGAAATGACGCTTTTGTTGTTATAATTGGCTTGATAGTTTTTTAACGTTGGTGTTTTCTCACTTTTCGCTTAGAAATATTTTTTGGGGGAAAAGGAGGTGGGTTTCAGCACGAAATATACATTGGTAGCTAGAAATATCAATTTTTTTTTTGTTGATGGAACAATATTAATTTTGTTTAATACGTAGAATTTTTTTAAAGATTGCTGAGCTTAGGTCATAAAAATCAAATTATTTTTTCTCTTTCATTTCTATTGGACTTTTTTTTTTGTTTTGCATATGTAGCCTAAGTCCAATCTTTTTCCTGGACTATATGATGGTTATTAGAAAACTTAACAGTAAGGACTAATGATATAGTGCAAGTACATTAAAATAATTATAGCTTGCTATAACTTTTTTTTAAAATTCAAATCAATAATTTAAAATATTTTTCGGAAAGTTTTGTTTGTTTGGAATTAAGCACAAACCTACACAATGGGCTATCTGTGCTCTGCCCACCACGGGTATCAAAACTAGGTTTCTAGCGTTATAAGTCCACAGACATAGCGCTGTGCCACGGGGGGAATTTTCGGAAAGATTGTTCTATTCCAAAATAAGCTAAAAAATAAAAAGTTTACTCCCCTTAAGACGGTTTTTTACAGTGCGTAGCCTGGTGGTTAAGGCGATCGACTCGTAATTTGAGGGTCGCGGGTTCGAATCCGTCACCGAACATGTTCACTTTTCATCTGTGAGTTGTTATAATGTGACGTTCAATCTTACTATTCTTTGGTAAAACAGTAGCTCAAGAGTTGGCGGTTGATAGTGTTGACTAGCTGCTTTCCCTCTAGTCTATCACTACTAAATTATGGACGGCTAGCGCAGATAGCCCTCATGTAGCTATGCGCGAAATTTAAAACAAAAAACGAACTTTTTACGGTGATTTATTATACTATAAAGAAATTAATAAAACAGAAAGATAAACGTCATATATACTATGGAAAATATTAAAAACCTGACCTGGAAATTTGTGTTATATTGTATCGTATTTTAATGGAAGATTACTGGTTCGAATAAGTAGATGTCAGAACTCGGGAAGATGCTAAAGTTGACATTTACTACAAACAAATACTGTACATTCAGGTGTAAACGTAACTGTTCAAAATGTAGACTCCCACAATTTCATATCCTCTGATTGGTTTACGTAGTAAATTTTACTGTGATTATAATACACTAAATAAATTTATTACGTTATCACATCAGTTTTAAATCGAATCCCTGCAACAAATACCATTGAAGAACTAGAAGGCGAAAACAATACCTCGTTTCGAAAGCGTATTCTTTAATTGATATTTACTTTCAAGTACAAGATTTCTATCACATGTAGTCAATACATTCTTTCATAATTTCAAATTGAAGTACTTGTATTGAAAAGTTGTTTTGTTTATCATTCCGATCCAACACTGTGCGCCAATACAAATGGCCAATACAAGAGGATATGTACGTTAGATGGAACTAATTAGTTGCTTGTTTGTTTTGTTTCGATTCGTGTTTCAATGATTCATGTTTTGTTCCAAAACCTAGGATGTGATCAATTACAACTGTCGTGAATTGGTAGCATCTGTTCCGTTCTTTTCCAACGCTGACCAGAACTTTGTTAACGATGTGGTAACGAAACTGCACTACGAAGTTTTCCAGCCCAGCGATATTATCATCAAAGAAGGGACTCTGGGTAGCAAGATGTATTTTATACAAGAAGGGATTGTCGATATTGTCATGTCCAATGGCGAGGTGGCTACAAGTCTGTCTGACGGATCGTATTTCGGAGGTTAGTTGATATTCAAAAGTAGCTCTATCTATGAATCTTGATATCTCTATGTGACAGAAACCCAAAAGTATCTCTATCTATGAATCTTGATATCTCTATGTGACAGAAACCCAAAAGTATCTCTTACTTTTGGGTTTCTGTCACATAGAGATATCAAGATTCATAGATAGAGCTACTTTCGGGTTTCTGTCACATAGAGATATTAAGATTCATAGACAGAGACTATTTTGGGTTCCTGTCACATAGAGATATCAAGATTCATAGATGCTCAATCTATGAATCTTGATATCTCTATGTGACAGGAACCCAAAAGTAGCTCTTTCTATGAATCTTAATATCTCTATGTGACAGAAATCCTTTATGTTCTTCAAGGCAAAATATTATCTAATATTCGTTTAGATAAATCGTCATAAAACTTTCTAGAACTCATTAAAATAGTACCTAAATACATTATGACATGAAAGATGCATTATGAAAATTCTTTATTAAACACAATCAGATACATACATACATGTATTTTTTTCGCGAGTCATAACATTTTACTGGTATTTTGTTTCGGAATTTCTACTAATAAAGACAGAAATAGAAAGTTCAAAGTAAAAACAGCGAATCAAATTGCCGCTTCTCTCTCAGTAACAATCAGAAGAATGTTTCTAGTCGTAATAAATGTAGATCTTTTGTTGTATGTTTTTGATACTATGTTGTCGGTATCTATTGAACTGTGCAGGGTGTTCGTGTGGGGGATGGGGATAGAATATGCTTCCAAACACTTCAAGGCAATACCGCACTACCTCTATACTGATATTCACATTCAGCATTGTTTTTAATTGTGTACACTAATGAATGTTATGTGATTTAAAAGGGTTTAAAAGTAATACCAGCTGTGTAGTTCAGATTTCAAAATGAATATAGCGTGTATTCGTTAGGGTTTAGAAATAATACGCGGTGTATGATTTAGGGCTTAAAAAATACCAGCTGTGTAATTCAGATTTCAAAATGAATATAGCGTGTATTCGTTAGGGTTTAGAAATAATACGTGGTGTATGATTTATGGTTTAAAAATAATACCAGCTATATAATTCAGAGTTCAAAATTAATACAGCGTGTATTTGTTAGAGTTTAGAAATAATACTCGGTGTATGATTTAAGGTTTAAAAAATAGTAGCTGTATAATTCACAGATCAAAAAGAATACATCGCGTATTCATTAGGGTTTAGAAATAATACTCGGTGTATGATTTACAATTTAAAAGGATTACCGGCAGTGTAATTCAGAGGTCAAAAATAATACAGCGTGTATTCGTTAGGATTTAGAAAAAATACCCGGTGTATGATTTACGGTTTTAAAAAAATACCAGCTGCGTAATTCAGAGTTCATAAAAGAATACAGCGTATATTCGTTAGGGTTTAGAAATAATACCCCGTGTAGGGGAGAGTGGGGGCTGGTGGAAACAGTTTTCACTTAGGAATATTTTTAGGAGAAGTAATGGAACTAAGTAACATCATTTAAACATGATTTATTATGTATGTATGTTAATACCCGGTGTAGGGGAGAGTGGGGGCTGGTGGAAACAGTTTTCACTTAGGAATATTTTTAGGAGGAGTAATGGAACTAAGTAACATCATTTAAACATGATTTATTATGTATGTTAGCTATTACTACATATTTTTAAAACTTGAATCTATACTTATACATCTGTGAAAAAAATTAAAACAAAAGATAAAGTAAATGTTTCGACCAGCCCCATAATCAGGGTTAGTTGGAACATGCTGTGGAGTAGGTTGAAACAATTACATTATTATAGACAAACAAAGAAAGCTTTGCAAAACGAAAGTTATAGTACATTTATTACGTCCTATAATGTGATGTCCAGATCATAGGTACGTTTAGAACTTTCCAGACTGGTCTGATCCATCATCAGCTGCAGCAGAGTCAGATTCACAGTTAATGCATTTATAACAATGGTTCTTAACAGTACATAATTCATAAGCCTAACCCTTACACACACTGTGCATTGTATCCAGGGCTTATTGCTCTTAATGTATGGGTCTCCACAAACCACTAATGCTATATGGAATTATGGTCTTTACTTTCTATTGTTTGGGTTGTGTTAAACGTTTACGTGATCCATCCTTGAACTGGAGGCCTTTCGGGCATTTCTTTTTACGTGCAGTATTTGATGATATGTCATAATGATAATAATACAGACCCACTTCTAGCCATAGGAAAAATATTAAAAAACAGTAGATACTATGGTCACACATTCGTCATATTTAGTGAAAGCAACATTTAGTTTCTTTCGTGTTTTTATTTTTTAATTTTTGTCTCTACGTGTTCCAGGGGAAAAAAAATACTTACCTGCAACCTTGAAAATTTACACACCTATTTAAAAAAATCGTTTTTTGGGGGCCGTAAAATCGGACATGTTGCTCAAATTCAAACGGTCACTTCGTGGAAGATGTCTCTATAGTTACTGCTGCTCTCTAGTGTTGAAACTTGAAAACCTAAATTAGACGATTTTTGAGACTCTTTGTTTCAATCTACTCGCGTTTCAACCAACCCCGTTCTACCATATGACTTAGGGTTTGAAAAGAATATCAACTGTGTAATTCAGATTTCAAAATGAATACGGCATGTATTAAGGTTTAGCAATAATACATGATGTATGGTTTAGGCTTCGTTATTTCGCATTAATTTCCAATATTTGTATACCCAATCTATTTCATGAAGATTATATTTATGTTATCTAAAACCTCAATAAATTTTCTAAATTCTGAAATACTACTTAAAAATTTATTTTTAAATGAATTAAAAATCATTCCAAAGGACATTTTTATGTCATAAGATTAACATGATGATAAAAGTATTAAAAGTGGAATAACGTTTAAATTTTTGCTTCCATCTTTTTTTTTTAATAAATGTATCACTGGCAATAACTACAGCGTGTTTTTGTTAAGTTTGTTGCTTCATATTTTCTTCTGAAGAGAATTCTTGTAAAGCTTTATTTTTATTTACTTTGTCTAGTATTATAACTGGTTAATCTCACTTCTTCTGAGAGGTAAGTCTGAGAGTTTATTACTCTTAAAATCGATACGTGCGGTGGGCAGATAGTCTATTGTGCAGCTTTGCACTTAACAACAAAACAAACAATCCACCCACCCTCCTCTGAAAATTGATTGCATTCGGTTAAAATTCTAAATATGCACTTATCTCGATTGAGATTTTTATTGGGAGGAAGAAGTCAACGCTGAGACCCTCTCTGATTCAAAAACATGGACCGAATCCTGATGAAGAAGAAGCGAGAAGAGATTTTTATTTCGCATTGCATAAAGTACAATCCATTAAGGATTATTTATTACTTATTATTAGTTCTTAGATATTGTATGTTAAATACATATATTATGATTTAACTTTGATTATTCTCCGAACTTACTTTAGGTTCAATATTTTTAAGTGTCTACATAACAATGGAGTTGAATAAGTTTTATGGCAGCTAACTGAACCAGTTTGCAGTGTTTATTTATAGCTTAACTTGGCTGTATATTTTTCAGAAATTTGTCTACTAACCAACACTAGACGAGTAGCCAGTGTCCGAGCAGAAACGTATTGTCACTTGTTCTCCCTGTCTGTGGGACACTTCAATGCTGTCCTGGACATGTTTCCCGTGATGCGGCGGACTATGGAATCCGTTGCAGCTGAAAGACTCAATAAAATTGGGAAAAATCCGAATATTGTCAGTCAACGGGAGGACTTGCAAAACGACCTGAAGACCTTCAATGCTATCCTCCTTTCTGCGCAAACTCCAGAAAGCGACGAATTCGCTCAGGATGAACACAAAGTTAGTCTTGGAAAGCATGACCGATCTATTGCTGCAGCTTTGAAATGTACAATTCCGCGACCTAAGTCCGAAAGCTGTTTCCCCCGAATTGATTTTGGACGAACCGAATCTCAAACAATCCACCGTTCGGAAACATTCTACCAATCTCCTAGCAGGCCTAGCACTCCTGTAGATTTGAATAAGTGCTCATGAAAATAAATTTTTTAACAAAATATCGGCATCATTTTACGATATGTTCGTGTCGCTTATAAATAGAATTACAGTATTATTTCTACAGAAATTGAGGAAAAATCTTCACACAAGTCAGGATTAAAAAAGCTGAGAGTAATGAAATACAGGTATACATAAACTAGTCTTTTTTTTTCGGGAACAGGCTGACGCAGACATTAATATCCTTTCTTTATCTAGCCTCAGCTTGAACTGGTTTTATATCTTTGTGTGCTTCCGTTAAAGAAACGCCTCAACAAATGTTGGCGGGCTTTGGAAATTAATGATATAAACAAACAAAAAAAAATGTGATGACTATAGAAGTGAGCTATCGAGGATTTTCTAACGATAAATCTAACTCTACGATACATTTAAAAGTGGAGAGACTAACGGTATATATCATATAGTCTCTAACAGTACATAATAAAGTAGGCTTACCATATTGATCTGAAGAAATGAGACCTTACTAGCCGATTAGTTTCTAGAATGTGATTTATAGAAAACTGTTTTTTGTTCGTTGGCTTTTCAAACACGTTGTAAGCAAAAAAAAACAAAAACAAATTAAATGTTTCCTGAAAGTGATAATCTTTACCCACTCCCTATATAATGAGAGAAACGTGTAAGGATTAAATTGTGGACGTTTTCTATTAGCGATATTTACACATAAGGATTGTGGAGTTAGAACTTCTAGAAGGTAACCACATATATAATCTTTAATGCCTCAAAACTCAAGCTAGGAGTCAGTGTCTCCCTGCTCGTCTAGTTGTCTAACCCTTACGCACCATGCACAAGCATGAGCTTTTCACTCTCTATGCAGTCTTTACAATACGTATAGACATATAGATATAATTAAAACGATACACTTATCGTGGAGTTGCAATAGAATCATCTAGTCCAGTTTGTTTACCTGTGAATATTAGAAAAATAGACGTAGACAAGTGTATTTAAAAATATATATTTTAGTAGTTTTTGGTATATAGAGAAAACGTTATGTAAAATTGATAGATATGATATAAACTAAAATATAGATTCATATAGAAACTTAAAATATGATTATAATTAAATAATGTAAATATTTTCCTTACTTCATTACATGAAGACATTCTTGGTATAATTGAAAACGATGTTGAAAAAGATGCTGGTTGTCAGATCCATCACTAGTTTGTAATTTAATGTTGTCATGTTATTTCACCTATGAATGATGTAGAGATAAGAAGATGTGGAGTAACAGTCTAAAACTACATCAAAATAGGCTTAACCATATTAGTATTACTGCAGAATATAGCAATATTATTTATTATAAATAGTAGTTAAAACTAGTGTTTTCAATAGTGTTTCTCAGACATTCTGGAATATATGGGTGGATATATAATGTTGTTTATTTTTACATAATGAGAACAAAATTTCTATATAAGGAATGGATAGTTTAGCTTGAATGTCTTTATTCGCTATGAGGCTGATTTAATTTGTTTTCTTAAAGTACGAACACATACCACTTTTTTATTTTATAGAAATACGTTAAAGTTAAAAAATTATATTTTAAACCTCTTTTTTAGATAGTTTAATTTAACAAGGAAATACTGGAAAACAAAACTGTTCGAAAATCGGGAATTTTTAATAAAGTTCAAAGTCTAATGACAGTCATAAAACTTTAGAAAAATGTGAGATTTACTTTTAAAAAAGAAAAGAGAAAAATTATAATTTGTCATATTTTCAAAACTGATTTGACAGTAACATATACGTATCTAGTTTTAAAACTAATTTCAATTTATAATCTTTCGAATGAAAACTCAAATTTAAAATCATATATATAAATTTTTATAGTAGTTATGCTGAAAATGACAGGAAAATGTCGAATAATCAGGTCATACACCTAGTATTCTGACAATGACAGGAAAAGGTTGAATAATTAGGTTATACAGTAGTTATTCTGACAATGACAGGGAAAGGTTGAATAACCAGGTTATACAGCAGTTACTCTGACAATGACAGGGAAAGGTTGAATAATTAGGTTATACAGCAGTTATTCCGACAATGACAGGGAAATGTTGAATAACTAGATTATACAGTAGTTATTCCGATAATGACAGGGAAATGTTGAATAACTAGGTTAATCAGTAATTATTCTGACAATGACAGGAAAGGTTGAATAACCATGTTATACAGCAGTCATTCTGACAATGACAGGGAAAGGTTGAATAACCAGGTTATACAGCGGTCGTTCTGACAATGGCAGGGAAAGGTTGAATAACTAGGTAAAACACCAGCTATTCTGACAATGTCAGGAAAGGCTGAATAACCAGATTATACAGCAGTTATTCTGACATTAACATGAAAAGGTTAAATAACCAGGAAATACCAAAATCAATTTCCAAGCTACAAAATGCATAATATAAAAAAAGCATATCAGCACATTATCATATCGATGGATAAATAGAATGTTATAAAAACAACATACCGAAGTGTGTTTGTTTTTAAATAGAAAGTGAATACAGGTGCAAGGCTTCTAAAGACCGGTTTAGTATGTGTTCTATGATTGAATACAGCATTTCCGCATGAAATATTATTCAAGTTCGTGGTAAAGAGGCATAAATTTCCTCCTAATTTGTCTTGTGTGTACATGCGAGTTGAAGATATCTCTGTACACGCCCGCGACTGGTTTTTTGATTACTCGCCTGATCGAACGTACGGTTAAAAGTATTATTTCTGCAGCAAGTTTAGTTTCCCAATAAATACGTTCAAACTAGTTTCTTTAGGTATATACATCTTTTTTCGGTGTTTTAATTTCATTTTGTTTTATTATATTGAGTACAAACGTCGTGTAAAACATTGTCATTCAACGACTCCACTTTTGAAAATCATATTAATTGTTGTTGTTTTCAATTTCTATACGAAATAACTCTGGTCCTTTTATGGTATATTTTAAACTTTTTTTCTGCACCAAAAAAAAAGGGGGGGGGGCAAATTTCTTTCGATTATGTTTTAAAAATATTATGTAAAATATACTTCTTTTAAATACCTGTATGTAATATAATATTTGTAAAGTTTTGTAGATTTATATATATATGTATATATATATATATATATATACCTTTCTGATAATGATATGTAGATTAAGGATGAAAAATGTGTTCATAATGTGAAAAAAAATGTTGAGCTCTTTTATTCTTTTATACAGTTTGTTTCAGAATTCTTTTGAAATAAAAAGCACAAAATGGTTTGAACCGAGACACATTAACCTTCATTATAGCGAACAAAGTAACACAAAATGCAAATATGAAATGTAGAGGTACTAATAAAGATCCGGTACAAACAAGCATCCGAAAAAATGCATCAGCTTGTACTTTATATAGATAAATATATATATATAGAATACAATATATATATACACATGTTTAATACAAGAAAGCCATGATATTGTCTTTATTTTTTAATTCAAATTTATATTCATACAAGTGAGAGGTAAATTTTGGGTGCTCTACTAATTATATAATTTAAGTAATAAAGAATTCAACCAAAACTTTTCCTAACAACAATAGCACTCATTCCATACATTAATAAGAGTTAAATTATTAGAATCACTTTGCTATATGGATATATAGTTAGGGGGGAAAATTTTGTGTTCAAATAATGCGTTTTAATTGTTGTAAAATACTGCTTCGTTATTGGATATATTGAATTACCTTTGTTGAAAGCATGCAATGATTCAACAATTAAGTATATTTTTAATTATTCATTATTAGATCTTTGTAGTAACGTAAATATATTAAATTACCTTTGTTAAAAGCATACAGTGATTCATCAATTAAGTATATTTTTAATTCTTCATTATTAGATATTTGTAATGCCGTAAAATTATTGCATTACCTTTGTTAAAAGCATACAATGATTCAACAATTAAGTATATTTTTAGTTCCTATGCCTTTTTTGTAGAAACATTTTAGGTTTGCCTATTTTCTTAAGATGTGGTATTAGTTTTAAATTCTGCCCAAAGCTGTTAAAGTATTTACTATTTAACTAAATTCGCTGTAATTAATTTCTTTAACGTATATTTTATTTCCACAAAATGAAAAAAAAAAATACATTACCGAAATTCCTCAACTTATGAACTGCTCAATGAGGTTGTTCTGATAGATTTGAAATCGTACATTCTCCAGTAAAAGGTGAAGAAGAAAGCCGGATAAGAAACAAAACCAAAGCAAGTGGTTTTAGATGACATATAACGATCTGTTAAGAATGATGTAATATTTATGGTTATTGTTGATAATAAAGAATACAAATAATCGTATGTGTTTATTCATTTTTGCATTGACTTTGGGAATCTTAAATTTACTATAAAAACATAGTTTAAAATAGTTCCAAGAGTAGTCACCAACGATCTGTAATTCTTTATAACCAGATAAATTGTGGCAATCACCTAGCTTTTATTATCAAGATAAGTTCAAGCTTGAGCCATCTCACATTACTTTTGAGATCATAATTATCAGCTGTCTTTCATTATTAAGATAAGTCCAGAATTTATAGGATAGTTGTGACACGTGTTCCAGAATGATATTTATTTTTTACGACGAAAGGCTAAGACTGGAGAATCACTAAATTATCGCTACTTTTTCTGAAAACATTTACAAAAAAGAGCATTTAGTTCTTTGATGTGTTCTATGTTAATGTCTCTGTAGTAATTAAGATTATATTTACATATAAGTGAAAGACTTTTAAATGCAAATTTTATAACCTTACAGTAAACCAAATACGTTTCTGACCAAAACTAGAAATATGGAAAAATTTAGACTGAAAGCTTGAAACGTGGGTTTTGAATTTCGCGCAAAGCTACACGAGGGCTATTTGCGCTAGCCCTCTCTAATTTAGCAGTGCAGGACTAGAGCAAAAGGCAGCTAGTCATCACCACCGACCGCCAACTTTTGGGCTACTCTTTTGCCAAAGAATAGTGGGATTGAACGTCACATTATAACGCCCCCACGGCTGAAAGGCCGAGCATGTTTGGTGTAACGGGGATTCGAACCCGCGACCCTCAGATTGCGAGTCAAGCATCCCAGCCACCTGGCCTTACTGGGCCTGAAACCTGGGCTTCCAAGCTTTAGTTTGTCAGAAATATAAAGTATAATGTATTCAAAGTTTCTATTTTGTTGATTTCTCGAGATTAAAACTGTCGTAATGTCCACTACAAAGTGTGGTCATGATGTCATAAGTTTAGAGAACCTTTCTTTGGAAACTGATACTTTAATTCACTCTGTGATTAGGCGTTCTCCACTGTCATCAAAGGAACACAAGTATATATCAATACAGCCAACTTACAGTTTGATAGTTGAACTTTGGTTAAATACAGCCATGCTCTTCTAGTGACACCTTGATATGTACAGCCAACTTACAATTTGATAATGAAACTTGAGTTAAATACAGCCATGCTCTTCCAGTGACACCCTGATAAGTACAGCCAACTTACAATTCAAAAGTTGAACTTTGGATGAATACAGCCATGCTCTTCTAGTGACACAATGTCTTACACAGTGACTTACAATTTGATACTTGAACTTTGGATGAATACAGCCATGCTCTTCTAGTGACACATTGATATATACAGCCAACTTACAATTTGATAATGAAAATTCGATTAAATAAAGCCATGCTCTTCCAGTGACACAATGTCTTACACAGTGACTTACAATTTGATACTTGAACTTTGGTTAAATACAGCCATGCTCTCTTAGATAAAGTTAAGTTTTCTTGAAGTACAGCTCCAAAGCGTAATGAAAAAAATCT